CCTTCTGCTTCCCAGAATTCTCTCTCCTTGTCCCACCTACTTCCTGCCTGGCCACTGGCCAAACAGTGTTTTATTTATTGACCAATTAGAGCAATTTGACATACAGACCATACCACAGCAGGTCACAAAGGTTCTTATTACAGGGAAGCAAAGGGTCAGAATCCGAGAAGGAGCTGTGATAGCAGAAGCAGAGATGGCAACAGTGAATGGCAGACCGGGCATGAGTCTAGGAGTGCAGCTGGCCGGCCCCTGAACCTGGAGTGAGAAGGCACAGATCCTACCCCAGACACTCTAGGAAGAATTCAAGTGTCAACATTTGATTTTCTTTTGTCTGGAAGAACTCTGGCCTCCTGAAGTGTAAGTATATTGTTCTCAGCAACTTCATTTTTTTGTTTGTTTGTTTTGTTTTTGTTTTTCGAGATAGGATTTCTCTGTGTAGCCTTGGCTGTCCTGGACTCACTCTGTAGACCAGGCTGGCCTGTGCTGGTATCAAAGATGTGCACCACCACTGCCTGGCTTAGCCACCTCATTTTTGCTTTTTAAAAAACAGGACACTTTTAGCTATGTCTTCCTTTCCCCATAAAAGGCCAAATGAAATTATTTGAAGGCCACTCCTCAGACATTTGTATTTCTTTCTTCCTTTCCTTTCTCCTTTGTTTTCTTCTTGGTTTTCCATCTAGGAACTATAAGTACCCATGGGCCACTCCCAGAGACCTCTGGTTATTGTTCAATGGTGCTTGAGTTCCATGCCAAGGTATTTGCTCCCATTGGTTTATTTTTTTCTGTTAGTAGCTTGTTCCCTAAAATGCACACTGTACTCTTAAAAGGGACTATGAAAGGAGTAGTTAGAGTAAAATCATTTTATTCTAATTGCAAATTAGTGAAGAGTAGGATCACTCAGCAGAGAATACCATTCCTGGTATATTTTAGTATATGTTTCTTTGATGATTTCATTGTGTATATGCATGTAGGTATATGTATGTGTGGTTCTCTATTGTTTCTCTCAAATTTAGATTTCTGAGGACTGATGTACATATTTAATGGCATAACTTTATAAGTCCTTATTTTGTTTTCCTTTTTTTATTTTTGAGATTATAAGTTGATTACATCATTTCTCTCTTCTCTTTCCTCCCTCACATGCACTCCACACATACACATATATATTCCTAAATATAACCTGTTCAGTCTGTATAATATTACCTGAATGTATATTTTCAGGAATGACTGTTCGGCAAAGGACAACCATTGGTGTGCTCTTCCCTGGGTAAGGCTGCCTCTCTCATTCCCAGCCTTCCAGAGTTACTTATAGTTCTTTGTGTAAGGTTAAGACATCGTGGCCTTTTCTCCATCCGGTCTCACATGTCCATTGACGTCATCCTTCTTCAGTTCTCATTTGGGCAGTGCAGGGGTTTGAATGATGTTGGCTCCATAGGCTCATCTATTTGCTTGCTTAGTCCCCAGCTGAACTGTTTGAGAAGGATTAGGAGCTATGACCTTGTGGCAGTACATGTGGCCTTGTTGGAGGAAGTGTGTCACTAGTCGCTTTGAGGTTTCAGAAGCCCAAGCCAGGCTCAGTGTCACTCTCCCTGCCTCCTGCCAGTAGATCAGGATGTAAAGCTCTCAGCTACTGGTCCAGTGCCATGCCTGTCTGTTTCCCCACCATGATGACAGTGGACTGCTGTGGGATAATGCTCTGATACACTGGTTTAATAAAACACTGATTGGCCAGTAGCCAGGCAGGAAGTATAGGCGGGACGAGCAGACTAGGAGAATTCTGGGAAGAGGGAGGGTAGAGTGAGGAGTCGCCAGCCAGACACAGAGGAAGCAAGAAGACAAGGCAGGACGACTGAGAAAAGGTACCAAGCTACGTGGCTAAACATAGATAAGAATTATAGGTTAATTTAAGTGTAAGAGCTAGTCAGTAATAAGCCTGAGCTAATGGCTGAACAGTTATATTTTATAAGCAGCTGTAGGACTGAGGGGCTGGGCAGGACCGGAGAAACCTTCCGACTACAGTGGTCTAACATTCTGAAACTGTAAGCAAGCTCCCAATTAAGTGCTTCCTTATAAGAGTTGCCTTGACCATTTTGTCTCTTCATAGCAAGAGAACAGTAACCCAAACAGAAGATGGTACCAGAAGTGGGGGTATTGCTGTGACAGGCCTGACCATGGAGTTATTTGGAGGAATACAGAAGACTTTGAGATTTTGGATTAGAAAAGTGATTGGCCGCTTTAAGTGCTGCTTAATAGGACATCCTAGTAGTACCTGAGAGCAATGTGGCATATGAGAAGCCAGCTCAAGAGTTTTCAGAAGGGAAGAATATTACGGTCTGGCCTAGATATTTTGGCAAAGAATATGGTTGTGGGGCTGGAGAGATGGCTCAGCGGTTAAGAGCACTTCCAGAGGACCTGAGTTCAATTCCCAGCACCCACATGGCAGCTAACAACTGTCTGTAACTCCAAGAGCTGACACCCTCACACAGACATACATGGAGACAAACACCAATGCACATAAAAGAAAAAGAAAAAAAGAAAAAGAATGTGGTTGCTTTTTGCCCTTGTCCTAAAAATCTGCATGAGGCAAAATTGAAGAGTTTTGGATTAATGGTTTTGGCAGAGGAGATTTCAAGACAGCCTAGTACTGACTGTGTCTTGTGGTTATTAGTGATCACTTTTATGCAGATCTACAATGAAACAGAACAATCAAGGCAAAGGAGAAAAACTAAATGTTTGAGCAAAAAGGAGCACCAGGAATAGTGAGACCCTGTCTCAAAAAAGACCAAAACAAAACAGTCCAGGCATGGCGCCTTTAATTTCAGCACTTAGGAGGCAGAGGCAGGCCTCCGTAAGTTTGAGGCCAGCCTGGTCTACATCGTGAGTTCCAGGACAGTCAGGGCTACGTAGTGAGACCCTGTCAAAAAGCAACCAAACAAAAAACAAAAACAAACAAACAAACAATACAAAGAGCACCTGGAAGTGTTGGCACCAAGTCCTGTGCTCAAGGAGATAAAAACGTTTAAAGAAAAGCCTGATGCTAAATGGAACAAAGGAAGTGGTGACCTCCGGGCAAGACCCCACCCAGCTGTGCTTCCAACTTGTGAAAAGGAATCAAAGGAAAGCTTAAACAGAAAAGGAAACCAACAACAATAGAAAGCTTATGCAAATGAGAGTCAGGGAGGGGCCCAGGTTCCAGCCCCAGCAAGCAGAAAAACTTGGCAGCTTCAGCTGTGTTCTGGCTTTATCAAGAAAGACACAG